TCAATCAATCAATCAATCAATCAATCAATCAATCAGCCAGCCAGCCAGCCAGCCAGCCAGCATGCACCACTTACAATGGGAAGTGATCTGAATATATTTTGTTTTTTCAGTAAGCAAAGCGTTCATTTAACAGGATCATTCCATACTCTCATATAGTGCAAATGATACTGCTAATAATGACTGCTGCTTATAACTTTTTAGTATGACATTATCTTATTACTGATATCATCAGTAGTATATTTTCTCTCTCTCTGTTTTGGTGCTTTCAAGTCAGTTTTTGACTCCTGGTGACCAGACTAGTCCCTGCAGTTTTCTTGGTAAGATTTCAGAAGTGGTTTGCCACTGCTTTCTTCCTAAGGCTGAGAGAGTGTGACTGGCCCAAGGTCACCCAGCTGGTTTGTGCCTAAGACAGGACTAGAACTCACAGTCTCCCAGTTTCTAGCCTGGTGCCTTAACTACTAGACTAAACTGGCTCTCATACTAGTATTATCTCATATTAGTGATATATATGAGATATTTGTAACAGAATGCAAATACTCTCCAAATGATCATTAGCCCTTATACAATGGGATACAAAAAAGCAACAAACTCATCTTTTGAACTGCCTTGTTTACTACAAATTTGAAAACATTCATTTTTAATATTAACTGTTTAATATTTAGTTAAGTATGTTAGACAAGCTTGATTCATTAAGCTGCATTCCATTCAGAAGAAGAAGATGATTCACCAAAACATAGTGTAACAACAAATGGAAAGCAGAATGGGACCATGGAAATTTTGGCAAACATTTTGGAGATTAAAGAGGGAAAAGACTAGTAAAGAAAATATGATTTGATCTGCTAACCCTGACTCTTTTCTAGTTTTAGAGATGTTTATGTTCTTCTACAGAAGGAAGCTCATAATAAGAAATGAAAACTACATGATCAGAGATACCAGATTAGAAGCAAAACTGTACGGCATGTTACTATGATTTTATCTTTAGACCATAATAAAATCATTACACGACAATAAAAATGCAATTGGGTCACTTGGATAGATGATACTGTGACCAGAGGCAAAAGAATAACATTCTACTAGATATGGACTATTCCATGAAAGGCCTTTTCTTTTCCTCACTTCTTCTTTGCCTATTTTCCTTCCTATAGGAACTGTTACACTAAGAAAGGGGATATTCTAGGATACTGGGTTTCAAGATATATGACTCCTAGAAGTGCCAATCAATAAGCACTGTGAATCATTTCTCCCTCCTTGGGAAGAAAAAACAGTAAGAAAACAGAAAAGGTTATACACAAAACCTGTATTATTTAGTCACCTCATAAAAATCAATGAATGAGGCAAGACGACTGCACAGTAAAAGTCCTATCTGGAAATACTCCAGAAATTAAAGCACGACTTCAGGTAGAAAACAGGAACAGTAAAACAAAGATGAAGGAAAAACTACAGAATAGAAACTAACCAACCAAATATCAACATTAACAATAGCTTAATTCCCTCTGGTCAAATGATTTAATTGCAAAACTGAGGGAAGCATCCATGGGATTGTGTATGCCTTATTTCCATACAATGGACATACTATATTGTCATGTCATGTCATGTCATGTCATGTCATGTCATGTCATGTCATGTCATGTCATGTCATGTCATGTCATGTCATGTCATCTTATCTGACATAATTGTACAGTATATGATGCAGCATGTGGAGATTTAAATAAAATCTAATCACCCAAATGCAAAGGAGGGCAGACAGGAAGGCTGTACCTAAGCATTTGTGAAATCCTTTTCAGCAATGGCACCTTATCTGCGAAACGCCCTTCTCAAAGATGCTTGGCAGATACCTTCATTCTAGTTCCAAGGCCAGGCCTCTTCTTCCAAGCAGCTAAGAATTGTGAATGCTTACAACTTCTACTGCTACTTTTATTACTGTGGTTTACTGCTGTATTAATTGTCAATGTTATAGCTGTTCGTGGGCTTTACTTTGGTTGTTGTTCTTTAAAGTTGGGTGCTTTTTTAACTACATGTTTTACCTCATTGATAGTAAGTGGTGTGAAAGAACAATAAGTAGAATTGTGTGATACTTTTATGTCCTAAATTACAAAAGAAAGACAAGCTCAGGCCCGGCAATCATACAAGAATCTGTGGCTCGCCACAAAGATAATTTTATTTATTTATTTATATTTCAAATTTAGTCACCGCCCATCTCACTCAAAAAGTGACCAAAAGATATCTATTTCTGCTGATATCTACATAAATAGGTATCAGACTAATTAAGGCAGGGTAGGCAACACTGAGGCCAATAAGCTGCTATTTTCCAGCCCCAAGACGCTCTCTTTTTCATGCACCTGGAATATGGTAGTTTCCCCACTGAAAATTGGCAGCATAGTTTTTCAGATAAAATTGTTGTAAACCTTAGGATATGATCGGGGGAGGGGGGATTGGAGGCTTCTTTTTTTCCTCTGTTAAAAAAACCAAACCAACCTTGAAAAATCTTGGGCGTGATGTGATCGTATTGGTTTGCTTAGCACCACGCCCTCCCAGCCTAATTGTTCTCCCTAAATTTAAGGGGTACATAGGAAACAAAGCCTATCACATTAACACTTCTCCATAGCTCTTTATAAGTGAATATGAAAAAAGGAGATTAAAGAAATGCTTGAAGTGGAACTCTAGGTAGTAGAAAAACAACATTAAAAATCAGTATAATGTTTTTCAGCAGAAGCAATACTTGATAATACTTGATTATCTTATAGATTCACACAGACATTTTATTATTTTCTTTTTTATCATGTTGCATGGAATCATGAAATACGATAGGAATTAATTTCTATTACTGCTTTGTATTCCGTTATTTATTATTAGAAAGTTGCTACATGTCATGTGTAATAAAAAAAGAACCACTTACAAATTATAGCTATTTCAAAAATCAACATTCATTTTCATATAAGCTTACCTGAGAAAGTGATTGTCGGAGATGTATCATCTGTGTATTGTGTCCTGCAAAATCATGTTCTGTTACCATCTGTTTCAGCTTTTCCTTTTCTATTGCTATGCTGTTAAACGCAGACTTCAAAAGAGAATGTACTAAAGAAGAAACAAGAATGTCTTTGAAAAACACCCTATCATTTTTGTATGCAATTTTTAAATGTAACCTAAATACTAGAGAAATGTATGTAAGAAAAGCACTGATGGAAAAGGCTACATACAAAATACTTCTTTATACTTCTTTAGAATATTTTCACAAGCATTTCCCCAAAACTGGGAAGGGTTGATAGCATCTCAGATACACCCAGCATGAGGGGAAGTGGTTTATATTCTGCTCTTGAAAATGTTTCAGCACACAAAGCTGACTCGTAGCTTTTTATGACAGACTATATTTGTTTCTGACTTTTACTATAATGACAGTCCCAGTACAAGAAGGCTTTTTTTAACCTTTAGATTAACATTGTTGATAGCACTGTCACATGCCTGAGTAGTTTCAAGAAAACTAGTTGCGATTCTGATGAAAACGCAAGTGATCAGTCTCGCAGGTGTGCTTGCACACTGTACACGGCCAGATAACACAGCTTTCATGCAGGTGCAGCTTTGTACAAAGGTGGCCTTAAAGTGTATCTATTTTGCAAGTGCACTGCAAGGATTCCTTTAAACCAGTTCAGGAAGAGAAAGTCTCTTTAATACCTGATTCTACCTGCTCACATTTTCTTTCACAGATGAAATGGCCAAACAAGCAGCAGCATGTGCACACACAGATCCCAGGGAGATGCCACGCATAAACTTACCTTTCTGGGCCATGAGGCAAAACTCTTCCTGGAGTTTTATGTAGTCTGTGGAATTTTCCAAAGGATCAGCTACATGACTTGGTGGAGTCTGAAATTCGATGTCTGCACAAAGGTTAGGATTAGATGAATGTAGGCGAACAGGAGACATTGTAGCACTGAAAGGAACCTAAATTGAAAATCAACAGATACATCACACTGACTCCACGAAAAACCAAATAAAACCTTACAATGCCATAAGTCATTTCTCACATTATTTTAGGCTTTATTATATTTAATATTTACAAAGAGTTTTTTTTTAATTGCCTTCCCAGTAGAGGGTCCTTTCTGATTTATATTGCTAACAGGACTCTGCTCTTCTATACACTGAACTGGAATTTACTTTTCATAGCATCAAGTTAATTTTATTTTGCACATCATGAAATTCAACCCATATAATCCCAATTAGTATCATCCTTCCATCTTTTAAAAGACACTTGGTTTCTGGCTTGAGTAGTAATTTATTGGGCAAATGAGCCTATCTTAGTGATGGGCCATTTTCATCATTCATTTTTGTTCTTTCTGTTAACTCAAATAATCTTTCTAAATAGATTTGACTGTTGTATTTGTGTGCACACATACAAATTTTATATCCACACACATGCACTATTACCATGAAAAGGTTCCCTTAACAGTTGCTGCCATCTTAGCAAGTGACTGGTGATTGGAAATTTTATCAAGTTTTTTTTTTAATAGCATAATGGTGCTGGTCATGTTTGGAAATCCATCTTTTTAAAGTGTAGATGCATTATAGGAGTATGACACTGTACTCATTTAAGCAGTATTTTAGTATTATCTTAATTTTTTAAATAGAAAATATGCTTTAGATTACTTAAACAATGTTTAAAAATCAATGAGGTGATAAAAACAGCACCCTCTTGCAAACATTATAAGGAATATGTACTAAACTATGATAGATTCATGTAGTAATATAGTGTTCCACATATCAAAACCACATCTCTTAAAAAATATGGACAAGCTGCATTTATGCAAGTGATAATATTGTGTGAACTTCCTATAAAATGTGAGTAAGCAAGTCATGGAATTCCATCAAAAATCCTCACCTGGAAGCAGTCCAGCAAATTTGTTTATTTTGCAGCGAGTATCAAAGTTAGGATCCTTTCTCTCAAATCAATGCTGGTGGTTTTTGAACATTAATTGAAAAATACTTATGCTATACAAGGAATAGATACAGTTTTCAATACACACACACAGAGCTAACGCTTATAATGCGCAAAAGCAAGAGTCTTTTAAAGAGAGCAAAATGCAACAATCATGTATTGGAAGGGAAGGAATAAAATAATGGATTTTAATCAATACCTGCCAGAATTATTCCTTAAACAGCAGATAAGTGAATGGTGGCATTTTACATATATATTATATTCAGTTAATGGTTTCAGTTCAGTAAATTAAAAAAAATGAATTTTCCCAAAGAAGAGTTATGATTAATATCGCATGAATATGCATCTCCAAATCACCTACTGTGGAGCTATACTGTTCTGGTGTCTAATTTTGTATAATTTGAAATTATACTGTAGTACTTTTATTTAAACTAGCTTTCCCCAAATTCATGCTATTGAGATGTGTTTGAATTCAATCCCCCATACCTTTGGGCATGATGGGACTTGGCATTTGATGTATCTGGAGGGCATGATCAAAAACTGCCCTATATAATGCTTAGAATTAAGATTCTTTGAATATCTCGAAAGACTCAATGTATTATGCCATCTCCACTTTTCATTATCTTCTAAAATATGTTTGCTGTACTGTATATTAAATGTACATATAATTGCATGTGTATAATTTTCATACAATATATATGTGCACTTTTGAGATATATCTGTAAAATGTATCCTAAATACATATGCAATCTCACACACTCATAAAAACATACAAATACGCACCCATACCACACACAAATACTTACAGTAATATACATGCTGTTCTATGGTACAGGCATGCAAAATGCAAGTAACATTAGGTCTGTAATTAATTTTATTTTATAATTTATTCCAATCCAAATCACTCATGTAATTTAAGGACCAATACTTGGAAAAATAATACATAACAGGGCTGTGCACACTTTGAACATGATACCAAAGTGGTTTTGATCTCACACAAGTGCAGCATCTCTCTCCTGATCATTTAAGTAGCCCAACTTTTTTTAGGCTTCTGCATAGCATAGCCTAAAAAAAAAGGTGCTGCTGCTTAAGAACTGCAAGAATTTTAATGTGTGGATTCCTTAATTCCTTCACAAGAGATCCTAACCACTTCTTCCTAAGTGTTTTCAAAGCATGCCCTACCCTATCACAAAATATATTACATACTCTTGAAATATTCTGAACAACAGCACATAAAAAAGTCACATTGCTCTGTATTTCAATAGGATTGTTTTCTTTTCCATAATACTTGAAACTGGCTTAAAATATAATTGTTACCAACTTTTCAAGATCTGGACTGAAATTCTTAAGTATTCAATTAGAATACTTAAATATTCTGCTATGTTTCTTTCCTCTAGATATTTAAGTATTCTAATTGACATGTTAAATTCCATTTCAGCTACAAGCTGGAAATCCAAATTCCATTTAAATCCAAGATCTACTATATTTAAGCCCAAGTTCAGCTGAAACTGAAAAACAAGAGGAATTTCCAATATTATTGTCACATGCACATAACGGGTAATATTCAACTAGACGTAGGCTAGTGCAACAGAACCTTCCCAATCTGTTCCCCTTGGGGAGAATACAGAAGGGGGATGTTTGATTACACTGAAAAAGAAGTTCTAGAAAAGAACTCTATGTCCTGAATCTCTCTGCTGTGGTATATATAAATTTCATATCACATTAATGAGCTCTTTACAGTCCTTTAGAATATCCTTTTGGCAGGACTCAATTCACTAGCTGCTTTACCTTCATTAGAACTACAGTTGTAGGAGCATGTATTAACAGTGCAAGAATTAGCACTGAACTGTAAACCTGTTCAGGAGAGAAACAAGTAAACTAGGATCTTCAGTTTAAAATGGAAGCAGCAAAGTGTCGAGAATTCAGTTGTATAAACAAATGTGGAGAGAAAAGACCTCATAAAAGTTGAGAGCTAAGCAACACACCCTGCCTTCTAGAGGCTCTGAAGACACTTCAACAAGGGGACAGCAGTTCTCACTAACAAAGGAATGGCTTCCTTTGAAGGTGATAGGAACAAGGATAGAAGACATTCACACAAAGTTGACTCATTCTCTGGAAGCCTCTGTGGGAATATTTGTGCTCCATAGACCAAGCACTTATTTAGTGTATATTCTTGTGAAAAACTAGGATCCAAAGAAATTCTGCAGTTTCCCCATGAAAGAAACAACTGCCAAAATATTCTCTCATTCTTAAAAGAGTTTTGGAAATAACTATATTTCTCAAGGATCAGGGAAGAAGAAAAAAATGCTACAAAAGCTCCAGTTTGCCAACAGAACATATTTATACATCCAAGGGGGATCCTAGGATTTTTTTTGGGGGGAGGGGTCAGTGAATAAATGCAAATTCTACTGAAATGATCTAATTAGCATGGGGAAGAATCTGTATCTACATTATTTTTATTTTAAAATGTTTATTTCCTAGCCCACATACAAAAACCCATTATAAAGCAAATCATACATTTGAATACAGATATGAAAGTAAATATTTAAAACCAACTGAATATGACTATTCTAAAACTCAACTCTTTCTAACAAAGTAGGCAGGGGGAGGGGGAGGGAATAAATTTTATATAGTATCTACAAACTGGACCAATTGTAGAATAAAGGTGATACAGGACATTTAACCTTTCCTCAAGGTCCATTTCAAATGTTTCTTTACAACATATATATCTGCCTTTTAATAATTAAAAAAAAAACTTAACTTCCATAATTTTGTGTTCAGCACCACTCCACTTCTAAATAACCTCTGGTGTATTTGACCAGTCCAGCTGCAAGCACAATTCCAATTCTTATTTTTTATGTTGAGAAGGATTTGGTTCTATCAAAGATTATTTCCTACCAAATAGGTTGCCCGTATAAGAAGTCCAACATCATGTACAGTAAAAAGTCCTCAAAAGTGACTTTCTTAGATTACCATATTTAAAATGTCCTACATATGGAAAGTTATGGGGGGGGTGAATCAATTCTGAATTCTTCTTGGCATCAAGCCTGATCACTGCAGTAACTTCATTAGCTGATTTTTAATTGTTATTTTAGATCACTATGTCTTATGGGAAATATACCTTATTCTTTTTGTCATTTGTAATATTCTACTGAATTATTGCAGTTATTTAATGTTCTGTATTATAATGCTGAAGAGTGGCTCATAATTAAATATATTTTATATATTAACAAGTAAATTAGTTATATAGTGACTTGTTACTTTAGTTAAACACCAGAAAATCTCTTGTTGTAGAAATTTCAGGCATTCTCATTTTTTGGCAATTCAGCTCATGAACTGTCCCTTGGTAGTTGCAGGACTCCTACTGAGGAAGTCAAACCTAAATCATTAAATATCTTGTTTGTGTTACTGGATTATATTGTGTACTCTTCTACTTCCACTTATTCAAATAAACCAAAATTTATTTCACTTATTAATTAATTGATTGGTTTTCTTCCCATTAGATGTCTCTTAGTTCTCTAATAATAATGGTAATAATATGGCTTTTTGAAGATGGAGCAGAAATGAAAATTATGTAATAATGTATATAATATGATGGAATTTTTAATGGACCTGGTAAACAAATCTTGTTTTCTATTAGAAGAACCAGTATGATCTAAACAAGTGAACTGAGAACTAATGCCACTCAGAGTTCAAAAGTGTTACTACAAAATGAGCATTAGAACTTGAATAGCTTTTACTATTACAGTATTCATACTGCATGGGTGTGTGTCTGTGTGTGTAAATAAAACATATGTAGCCATTTGGTAGTTTTATTATCACTGCTTCAATTTAGGTCTTTTGCATTTGTTCTTGGGCTTTCTGGATATACACATCTTCGGGGGGGAAAGGATTGTGTATTTTATTATACATAAATGTGACTAATTATACGAAGATTATAATAATATAATCTTACTATAATTATATAATAATTCTGATATTAAGGTGGTTTCGTCAGACCTTTCTCAGCAAACATTCACATTTTAAAAATATATAGTTTTCTAGTTATACATACTATATTAATTTCTTTGATTATTTTTATGCCACAGTTCGATCAGAAAATTTTCCAAGTGGCATAATAAAATAAATGCTGGTATTTGTTTATTTGATTGACTGATTTTGTTATTTATATGACTGCCCAGTCACCAAGATATTCTGAATCCTGAGCTTTCTTTAACCTCAAATTCTCATTACACCTTAAGTCTTACACTGAGTGCTGTACAGTGGAAACTCAATTGCCTGGCTATGTATTTCTCTCTCTCTCTTTAGTTTGCTTGTTTGTTTTGGTAGTATTTAAAAATACTACCAAGGGGAAACACAGAAAAATGAAAAAGAATAGAAGAGATTTACAAGCTACATAAAATTCAATTAAAATTTCAAGGTAACCATTAGATCAATGCTTCATATCAAATGTCGTGTATTAATCTGAAATTTCAAAACCATTTATAAGATCAAATAAATATTCAATAATTAACTGAAGTGGCCAGTATAAATCATGTCAGAATGAACATTTCTATCAAGTCTAAAAACTGTATCTTCATTTAACAATTCAAGCAGAAGTAAATGTATGAAAGCTTCATGTTAAGAGAAACCCAAACTCTGAACATGGTACAAGTCTATATATAGAATTATAATCCATAAATGTTTCCATATTGAATTAAATTCTGTGCCAGACTCGCTTTCAGGTATGAAGCTATTCTTGATATTGATGCATGCTCCCACAACTTCATTTTGCCATTCTTCTTTAGAGGGAAATATGTGTGGTGGCTAGGTATTTTTAAGGCTTCCCTTCTGTTTAGCTCACAGGACTCACTAATAGAGCAGGAGCACATAATCTGGGGCCTCAAGGCCTAGGGGACTCTGCAAAGTCTTGGGAGCAGCCCCTCCAAATGTTGTTCCTAATTACAGTTTTTGCATGTGTTAGGGAAAAATACTGAATACATGAGGACGGAGCATATTCACTGCACTTAATTTAATTTACATTTAATTTGAATCAACGTTTTTCTTTCCTTCACCTCAGCCACTGGTCGGACTGACCCTTGTGTTGAAGGGTGTTCCTAACATGCCACTCAAAGGCTAAATTGAAAAAAACTGACATACCCCTCCCATCGGTGGCCATGCATAAAAGGAGTTAATTCGTCTTATTGGGGAGGTGGGGGAGAGGGAAGGAACCAGGCTGCTTTTCACCAACGTACTAGCCATGGCACTAGCAATAATTCCTAGCAATGTCACATAATGCTTTACATACCGCCCATAATGAGGAACACCATGACTATAAAACATAAAAGAATTAAACACACACAATGTACAATCCAGTCAAACTGAAGCCTTTTTGTTAGAACCACAGACTCACTTTCTCTCTCCAAAATCAACAGGATCTAAAGCTGATGAAGTTTGGCTAGATTTTGCAGCATGCTTAAAAACACTTCTGTAAACACCTATAAATACTTTGAGAGCCCACCCCAGTCTGGATTCTTGATATATTTATTTTTAGATTTCTATTCCACCACCACCACCACCCCTTTATGTATTCCAATACGTATGCGACAGCTCTGGCTTTCCAACCCTGCCCTCTAAACTCCCTCAATGTGACCAGCCTCTGAAGGGCTCCAAACTCTCCATATGGTAAGCACATGTTCAAGGTATACAGTTCCTCATCTTTAAAATTGGAGGTGCCTTGACTGAGGAGTCCACTCACTGTTGTAGCCACTGCTGCTGCTAGTCTCTGCCGGCGCCGTGCAGTACCGAATTGGCCCTTCAGCGCTGTCCCTTCCTGACAGGGAACAGGAAAAGAACAGGGAAGCAAAAGAAGGAAGAAGGATGATGGGAGGCAAGAAGGTGACAGATGATCAGAGAAAGGAAGGGTTGATTCTTTAATGGAGTGTTCTTTCTAAAAAAGCCAAATTCCATAACTTCTCTAAGAGCCAAAACGGGGACTGTCCGCCTCATCCTTTATCTACTGTAGGTGTGAGGAAAGAGAAGTGATTCACTTTCTTCTTTCAGGGCTCATCATGATAATTAAACTAAATGAAGTTGTATTGTTTGTTGTTTGGCCAACGAAGGAAGCAGGTACACAAATCATCACATCTAGATATAATTTAATACAGTAGAATTGTTCACCTATGAGGAATCATCAGAATTGATGTTATGTCTTAGCAGTAAAGAATATTTTGGTAGAAAAGAGCATGCTTTGTTTTGTCACTGAAGCACATGCAATAGAAATTCAGAATATTTGTTATACAGTTTTCTCAGTACTACCTGGTTGTGGTAAACTATGACTTATGTCTAGTTATTTATCATGAAAAGTATTTCAAAAAAACAGATATGGGATGAAAAGACAACTAAAAAACTAAGAATCTGACATTCAGATTATTTAATTTATATATTCTAATACAATTGCCTGGAATGCTACTCTCAGTTATACTAAGTTTAGCAGGGTGGCCACAAGAAGGAAGTCAAAAAAGTCAAGATAGCAGCCACGATCATGCAATTGAGGCACTGCCCTTTTTTATGTGCATCACAACACACATAAAAAGGGGCAGCACTTTGAGTGCATGATTGTGGCAGCCATCATGACTTTTTTGACCTCCTTGCAGACCTCCCTGCAAGTTAGCTAGGCAAAGTAAGTTCATATTTTAGGTTTTTCCAAACTGGCTATTTTCTACAATCAACTCTTCTGTAGATTTTTGCATTATCAACCTCTCTGTTCATTTCCTTTCAAAGTTGTTCTGCATCCCCTCAAATAACACCAAACATTAAATAACTATCTGTATGTTTCATCTACCAAAAGGAGTGATAACCATCTTTCAATCTGCCATCTAATATCCAAAATGCCACTCCGCAGCATTCAGTAAACAATAGTTTTGCAGGGTTATAACAAATTTATTTGAATGTCTCCATCATTCTTTTTAAAGCCACACCACAACTTTATATGTCCAACTGATAATAAGAAAATACATAACATATTCCTACTTTGATAGGAAGGCTTCCCCTCTGCCTTTGAAACTTGTTCAAGTTAACCACTTTTTTTTTTTCCAATCCAGAAAAAGGGAGTAAGACTTAAGGTTACACAAACCTTTGCTTCAGCCCTCCTGCACTGTTCTTTCATTTTATTCCTGGACTACATGTCATATTAAGCAAACAGACTTCTGTTTCTGCACTGGATGTCTCCCTTCATCTCCTCCTGCTTGAATATCTGCAGATCTACCCCTGAGGGTCTCCAACATTAAAGAGCTGATTTAGTTGATGCAGGAGACTGGCAGATGGAGGAGAGCAGAGGTAAGAATCAGACTTCTATACTGAAAGAAGCAACAGACAGGGGTTCTGGGGAAACACTGGATACAACCAAAACTGATACTGAGTACAGTCAGTATTACTTAGCTGGAGAACAGAAGAGGGAGAAAAGAAAAGGCTCACTTCCATTTTATACCAGATATAGTTTAAACAGATTCTTAGTTATATCTAGGAACTTTTCTATTATGAGCGATCCAAGAGAACCAGTCTATTATAATATGGAAATTTTTGATTTTTTTTTCCCTTTTAGAAGCCACATATCCAAGATGCATGTAGCTTTTTTTCTATTTTTCCTATTTCAAATGGTTTTCATACGTTAGCGGCAACAGTTTCAGCTAGCTTTAAAATAAAAAAGAGATAGTAAATAAATTATTATTATTAAATCAGAATAGTCCTGCAAAATTAACATAATATTTGGAATAGAGACAATGAAGTTAAAATTTGGTTCCAGACTTTCAGACCAACCCTCATTCATCTCACATATTACTAAAACACCTATTTGCATAAAAATATAATGCTATGTTTTAAAATTCTGCAGTATTTCTTTTTCTTTTTCCTTTTCTTTTTCTTTTGATAGGAAAACAATCCATTGGACTGTTGGCTGCTATTCTAAAATCTTACCGCATAATTTCAAAAACATATTTTTTGAAACAATAGGCTTCAACTGAACCCTGGCAAGGCAGAGTGGCTGTGGGTTTGGAGCTCTCCCATATCTGGGGCTTGGTTCTGGATGGGGTTGCACTACCCCAGACAGACCCAGTGTGCAATTTGGGGGTCCTCCTGGACTCATGACTCCTGCTCAAGGAGCAGATGGTAGCCATGGTTAGGAGGGATTTTGCTCAACTTCATGTCATGCATCAGTTGCGCCCTTTCCTGGATCGGGAAGCCCTTCTCTCAGTCACTCATGTCCTAGTCATCTCCTGCACGGACTATTGCAATGTGCTCTACATGGGTTTACCCTTGAAAAGTATCCGGAAGCTGCAGCTGGTACAGAATGTGGTGGCACGGGCAGTTTTGGGCACCCTTAGGGTTGTGCACGTAACACCACCGCTGTGTGAGCTGCACTGGGTGCCAGTTTGCTTCTGGGTCCAATTCAAGGTGTTGCTTACGACCTTTAAAGCCCTTCATGGCATGGGCCCAGGTTACCTGAGGAACTCCCTCATCCTGGTTACATCAGCACATCCCACCCAATCCGGCAGGAAGGGCATGCTGCAGACCCCATTAGTTAGAGAATTTTGACTGGCAGGGTCTAGGAGGAGAGCATTTTCTGTGGAATATCTTGCCCCCCGAGGTGAGATTGGCCCCCACTCTTCTGGCCTTCCAGAGGAGCCTTAAGATGTGGCTCTGCCAACTAGCTTGGGGATCCAATGGGGGCTCCCAATATTGGGAGTGGCTGGTGGCTTGAGTATGCTCTCTCCATCTTTTAGCTTTGTACTCTTTTTAATGTGCTTTGTAGTTTTTAAATATTTTTACGTTTTTTTTACCTGTGAGCTGCCCAAAGCCACTGATAGTGAGATGGGCAGCGTATAAATTTGATTTATAAATACATAAATAAATAAATAAATAAATATTATATTAATCCAGGAATGTGCACACACTGTAGGTCTCTGAATTACATCTATGTGAGAAAATTATGATAAATTTAGAGCAATCTAAACAGAGTTTCTATAAGCATGGAACAATTTTAGAAAAATCCCTTTGAAACTTCTGCTATGAAAAAACAGCTCCATTATTGAGGTACATGGGGGAGACAGTTAAGGCTATTTTTAGCAGCAAAATTTGGTTAAAGAATTATATGAAATCTCAAGCTCTTAATTTTATAAACACAAAAATGTTAAAGTTGTTCTTAACAAATGAATAAAAAACAACCCCCCCCCCATTTTTCAATATAAAACAGCCCAAATTTGATATTCCTCAGACAAGACATTAACTGAGATGTAACAAACCCCTGCTATATAAACACTCCACATAAAGCATACCAAACACAAAGATTGCTTGAAGACAGTGCTACATCATCCGTACATAAAAGGAACTCTTCTTCAATGCAATTTACTTATGACAGAAACAAATAGAAAATGAAACATTTTGTATGCCAGTGTTAGTTTCCTTTCTTATCTGATTAACTGTAAACCAATTAGTACTGCCTTGCAAATAGTCAGGTATTAGAACTTAGCTTATTCCCATTAGCTCTGGGAAAAGACATGGCTGCCTGTCTCCACGCTGAAGGCACATACTTCAAGCAGAATCTTTTATTGCAATGATCTTCCAATGGTGCATTTATCACCGCTGTTAGTGAGTCCATCCAACTAAGTCCGCATCTTCTCTTTCTTCCACATTTCCCAGCATTAGAGACATTTCCAGAGAGCTAGGTCTCCACATAATGTGTCCAAAGTAGGATAATTTGAGCCTGGTCATTTCTGCCTCGTGAGAACTCTGAGTTGATTTGCTCAATGATCCATTGGTTTGTTTTCTTTGCTGTCCACGGTATTCTCAAAAGTCTTCTGCAACACCAAAGCTCAAAGGTGTCAATATTCTTCCTATCCTGCTTCTTCAAAGACCAACTTTCACTTCCATAGAGTATCACAGGGAATACCATGGCTTGCACAATTCTGATCTTTGTAAGTATAGATGCACCATGGCATTTGAATACCTTTTCCAAGGCCTTCATGGCTGCTCTACCAAGTGCTAGTCTGCAGTGTATTTCTTGACTGCTTGTTCCTTTACTGTTGATGGCAGAGGCTATCTACCACTCTGATAACTTCATTATCAGTTCTAAGGCTGGTTGTTCTACCTGTTTATTTAT